GATGCGTCCAAAACAAACTAGGCCCAGAGAAAGCGCGGATCCAGGAATCCCAAAGCAAACACGCCGTGAAAGTCCGGACGGACGGCAATCGCCAACAGCCGGCGATCGTTTTAATAATTCGCAGATGCGCCCGGCGAGATAAGAATATTCAATTATCCGGTGGACGTCGAACATCAGCGAGCGGATCGGAGGCCTTTCTACTGAATCGAGGAGGAGGAATCGTCCGGCGACTGTTCCCGGTACCATTCCCGTTTCGAATATCACCAGGGCGCGCGCATTCCGTCTGGACACCGTGGAATCGCTGCCAGTGGCGATGTAGACGGTCTATCGGTCAAGCCGATCGTGGTAGCGCGTGCTTGTACGCCGGCCGAGACACGGTAATCGCGTATCGATAGTCGCGCGCCGTGTAAACCGTCGATCCGCGGCACCGTTGACATATATAACGCTTCGTTAACAGCCGCCGATATACGCTCGATGCATTTTTCACGCGCGCCGCTCATAATAGCGTCGCGCGAAAGCCTCGGACGGCGCGAGCGCTGTCGCCGTTGCAAATTGCTTCGATTTCCCTTCAATGATCCCCGCGCGGCTTCATCGATAACCGAAACAGCGGCGGAGCAATGGAAAGTTCCGAATGTACGCCGACTCGAAGGAACGCCAACACCCGAGTGCGAACAATATCGACAACGATCGCACTTTATATTTCACCATCGGCCTGGTCCGATCATAAAAAAACGACTTACAACGGTCCGCGATCATAGGTGTACTACAAGTAAGGCCGCGAGTAACAAATTCGTACACGCGGAAGCGCTATCTGCCCGCCGCATCGAAGAGGAGACCGTTAACGATTCTAAATCCGCGAACGTCGGACACATTTCTAGCAGCGATTGCGGGAACAAGGGCGAAACGCACCGGGAAAGCAGTTTGATTCGCTTATCGCGAACGGGATTGCGCTATTAGCCGCTCGAGTTTACACGGTTGCTTCCGATCGCGAGCGCCGAGATAAATCAGATCGTCCGTCGTCGTTTGGCCACGATCGCGCGCATTTTTCGCGTGGTTTCGCGGAATCCGAGCGGATCGGTCCGCCGGGAATCGCATCGATTCCCGATCGCGATCATCGCGGAATGCGCCCAGGCCGGCGTAATTGCGCGTCGATGGCCGACTCGTCGCTAGCGAGCGTCGATCGCCTCGGATCTATCCAGTATTTCGAGGATGCGGCCGATCTCCGGTGGGGTAGTGCCGCCGGCACCCGGAATACCGTAACGTCTGCGCCCGATAATATCGCGTGCCGGTGATTTTCGGGATTCGGCGAGCAACGATCGGAATGTACCTCGGCTGCTGTGTGTCGTTACGTATGCAAATTCGACGGACGGGACGGAGCGGCTCTCCGTTCGTGGAAATCTTACGTAACGCGGAGAGGGTCGAGTTATTGCGCCTCCGCGCAGTTCCTGGGTTTAGCCTCCGGTTAATTAATCACCGCGATCGGCCAGATAACTGGTATAATCTTTAATTATCCAGGATTCACGCGCGCCTTCGGTCAGTTTCTCTTTGACGGTGCTATCCGGTTGACGGTAGAATGTCCCTTAGGAACAGTTCCCCGGCGGGAATTCGATACCCGAGAATAACGTCGACCCCGGGATAACGCAGAACTGCGTTTCTAGTATCCATAAAAGAGTAAAGTCTATTAAACGAGGATTGCGCGACGCAGAGAATGTTGTTCTACAATGTTTTCACTTTTATCCGTTTCACGGGAACCCCTACGACCGCAAGAACTCGTGGTCTAAATATAACACCGGGTTAACAGAACGGGTAGAAAAGTAGCAAGAAAAGTAGCAGGAGAAACGGTGGCCTTGAGCGGTCAAGATCTCCCTGTGTAACAATGTAGAGCGGCCGAGAAAAGGGTAACCTGATCAGACACCGCGTGTAGCTTTCACGAAAGAAGCCAACCACGGTTCAGCATCAAGTTCACGAAGAGCTCTCGTGAGTTATGTCAATATAAACCGCCGCGCGCCGGCCGCTGCCGGTCCCGTTAATAATAATAATGTAATAAGAAGAGCGGCGCGGAGCGGCGCGGAGCGGAGCGCCACGACGAACCGGTACGCTGATGGACGCCGGGGTTCGCGTTCCATTCGCAGAGCGCGGAGCCGCCGCGCAGCGGCGCGCCGGAGATGGCCGGAGAGAGGAGCGGTATCAGCCGCGGCGATCGCGGTGGTACGCGCGCGGAGAGGACTTGCCTACCAGGTGAGACACGGTAATCGCGTATCGATAGCACGGCCGCGACGTATATAGTTCCGATCCACCGCAACGCCGACGTATATAGCTCTCCGCTAATAGTTAACTATGATCTTACAAGCCGCTTACATCCACTCGATCTGGCCGCAGTTGCGAAAACCGGAGGAGCTGCGCTGCCAGCGTCGCGGTTCGTGTTACCGGATTAAGGGTGGATAAGGCTCACGCGATTTTCATCCCTTAGCCGCGGATAGCGGTAAGGACTCTTCTCGGATCTTTGAGAAACGCTTCGCGCTGTTTACCAAGTTTCATTCGTTCCGAGGTGTCTCCAACGGACAGCTTCTCGTTGGTTGTTCGTTCGAGCAGTGTCCGATTCTTGTAGTTTTAGTGTATTTTATAATACCGTTCGCTTACATACATTACCGCAGTGAACCGCGCGTGACTCGTTAACGTTCGATTCGAAATCGGGCCAGCCCGTAATAATTGTTTCGCGATTTTTTGTCAACTGCAAAGCGAATGTTCGATCCGTGTTCGAATACGGGAGGAAATTAGAAGTGGAAATTCGCTTCGGGTCGACGGTGCCAGCGTATCGATCCGATCTCGCGCGATTTCCGTAATTGTATCGAGCGAGACGATCGGCTCCGCGGCGGCGGAACGCGCGCCGATTCCGATCGCGAAGCCCGGACAGACACGCCGCCGCTCGCTCGCTCGCTCGCTCGCGCGCTGGTTCGTGCAGTTGCGTGATAGAACACCGCGGTTCGCCGCAACGGTGACACATGTAACGGCCGCGATGGTGACTCCGTGAGTCATTCCCATTCGAGTGCTCGGCGCGCGGCCGTTTTTACGCGGAGCACGCGTGTAATAACCCTCCGAGGCATGTCTCGATTAGCCGCCCGCGACCGATACGATGAAGCCTGTTATGCAAATTTTTTCTGACTTCTAAACCAGCGCTGACAGAGCCGAGGTGTTGAAAAAATAGGTTCTCTAGTAATAGCTGTTTACGTACGCCCCGCGGTCCGATAAGGTTTCATTCATTAACATAAAACGCCGAACGCGTACACGCAGTTCACCGCTCGGACGCAGGTTCCGCTCGCCGCGAATCTCGCGACCGTTCGATCTGCCGGCGCTTCGATCTTCCCACGAGGAAAGTCTCCGTTGCGTTTTATTCCGGCGAGTATGCAGCTTCGCACGGTGGCTCAATCTCGATCGTCTCATAACTATAATCTGCCTCGGACCTCGGAGTCCGGTAAACGCTACCGAACAGAGACACGCGGTCCCGAGATTATCTCAAAACTCCGATCCACATGCTAAGCGGTATATTTAAAACCTATATCTGTCTCGTAGAACTCTCCGTAAAAGCAAATCGACCGGGAATATCGTAAACTACGCAATGAGATCATCTACATCCGCTTGAATTCGCGGATGAGCGTCCCCGCGCCGATGGTATCGGTCGCGACACCCTCCTCCCGCTGCTCCTGAAAAGAAAGTTCCCGGTTTCAAGGAGAATACGCGACGAGAGAAGCCGCGCGGCGGAGAGCAGTCGAGCCGGGACACCGTAATCGCGTAACGATAGCCGGTTACAACGTGTACAGAGCCGACGCGACGCGACTCGGCGCGGTGGCGACGTAACCGGCCAGGTAATAGCCCGGTTTACGAACGACGCCGCTAGCCGATATTTTCGCCGGTCTTACGTCGCGCAGCGCCACCCGAACCGGTTGCCGACGCCGCAGAGGGCCCGGTGTAATTGCGCGTCGCGATTGTCGCCGTTATCGGGCCCGCCTAATCGGCCGGGACCCGGGAACGATTTTAGAGCGCGGCCCTAATCGCGACGATAAATGGCCGACGTTCGCTCGGACGCGCCCTGAACGGTCGGAGGCGCGCACGGAATGATATACCACGCTCGGGAGCAGCCTGGACGTGTAGCGGCTGCGAGCTTGTTCGCTGGAATTACGCGCGTTACGAGGAAATACGCGATGCCTCCGCTTCCTGTACACCTGCTGCACCTTCGCCTATGCCGGGGACAGGCTCTCCTGCTAACCAGAAATTCTTGTCTCGGATCGGTTTCGAGCGCGGGGATTTACGTCTTTGGTTTAATACCCTATTCCGTATATCCTGCTCGCTGGTTCTTGGCCGAGCGCGCCGAGGATTGGGGAGAGAAGCGTAAAAACCGAGTTGATGGGAACTTGTAGATTCCTTCCGTTCGTTTTTATGCGACCGAGAGTAATTCGATATTCTCGGATTCAAGAGCTTCTTAACCCCTTGCACTGCCAGTCGGCCGTGGAAAATCCGAACCATAATTGTAGCGATATCGCTGTCCAAAGTGGTAGGGAGGAGAAGGCAGTGGATGAATGGTAGGGAAAGTTGCTCGCGAACCGCGAGTCTCGCTCGTGACATTTATGCTCGTCCGGGAATCACTGGCGCAGTACTCGTCGAAGTACGGCGAGGGGTTAAAGGGGAGTCTAATGGAAAAATTGGATTGTCCGCTTTAAGTAACGTAGTTGGTATTAATAACGCCGAAAGCGGGATCGAAATTCACCCCTCGGAGTGGCCCCTAATCACGCCCCTTCTCCGGCGAAACAAAGCATGTCCCGCGCAAGCTCGCCCCATCGTTACCACCCTCGAAAACACCATTGATCCTCTCCCGACACACCTTCGAGGTGCACCGTATGCGTGCCACGCAAGCGACGCGCCCTCCGCCGTCCCGAAACGCGGAGGAAGTCGGTTGGTAACATGGCGGCACCGAGGCTAAGACGATTTCCATCTCTTTGTTGCAGGATTAAGCCGTGGCGCGAACGACTGTCCCACGACCGGACTGTAAATACTCGCTCCTGAGAGGTCCTGGGATTTATTAGCGTCGCCTTGGGTGGACGGAGGAGGAAGCGGAGGAGAGTGGCTGCTTGAGAAACCAGCGAGAGGCCAGGAACACAGGGGAGAGAAGCAGGGGCAGAGAGAGAGAGAGAGAAAGAGAGGAGAGACCGGCGAAAATGGGAGCCGATGCGAGAGGACGAGCCGTGAAAAAGCGGAATGGAGGACGGGCAGGAGGGAAAGAATCGGGGGTGGCCGACCGGAGAATACATAAATCGCGTCCGCCCGCAAGGCGCGCGGCTGCGAGAGACGAACGAGGGACGCCGCGAGTCGGCCGGAGCGGGCTTAGAGGAGATTTAGGAATTAGGGGAATTACGTCCAAGTGCCTGCTTACGCACGAGTACGTAACGGAGGAGAAGAAGACGCTGCCCGGGGAGCAAGGCCAGACGTGCGCTGAATCGCGCCTGAAACTGCGCCTTCGAGAGTTTCAGGGAGACGTCGTCCCGTTGGAGCCGATTCGCCGGCGCGCCTGGCCTCTCCCCGTCCTCCCAAGCCCCTTTGCCACCCCTGCAATCCGCGTTCCGCGTGTTCGAGGAGCTTATTAGTCAATCGAAATTTCGCCGACGACGCCAGGTCGCCAGGTTCTGTACATAAGAGGGCGGTAGACTCACGTACAAGGTCCAGGATCACGTAGAAGGATCGATCCTTGTTTTGTATATACTTTCGCGGGGATGGACGAGGCTCGTTCAACCCCTGTCGCTGTTCTCCGACTGCCGCGGACCCAGTCGCTTCTGGGGACCGAGGCGCTATGGGCAACGTGCAAACTGGTAGGTATCCAGAAGGACCTCGACCCGGAGATCGCGTCTCTTGGGTCCTCCGGACGGCGAATCGACCTGTACTCTGTAAGAAGAGGGAAGAGGGACTCGGAGATTCGAGGGAGTATGGAAAAGACACTTTACCTTTCAACTAACCGATGTTAACGTGCACACGAACACGCGGTAGCAATCGCGCGGTAATAATACAACAGTACGGTGTTCGGAGTCAACGAGAGATTCGACGAGATGTCGGGTTGTACATTCGAAGCGTCGGCGTTAAATTCAAAATGGCGGTGGTCGAACTACGCTTCGCACCGCGCAAGATCGTTCCGCGATCCACGAGGGTGTCGCGGCGAGCCAGTTAAGAGTAAACATTCGTCCTTTTTGCGCGAGCGGCGCCCGCGCTCGCGAGTCGTGGAGGACTTCCGGTCCCACGGGGGATTCGTCGACGGGACGCGCGATCCGAGTTGGCGTCGTACTTTTAACCCTCGTTAATTTCAACCTCCTCTGTGCAATATATCGTTTAGATGCGTGTCGCGTCGATCGCGCGTGATCCTCGAGATTCGTAGGAATCGGATCGACGGCGGACGCCGACCGGACCCGAACTTTCGTGGGCCGACGCGCGCTTCCTCGGTTCGACGATGTCCGCGGGAAACGGTGCGAAACACACGCGAGCGTCGCGCCGCTCGAGATTGTTAATATTTTTTTATATTATATTGTATACCGTGCGAATCGTCGCTCGTTTCGGGGAGTCCGACGCATCGGCAGGTGGATCGGGGCGCGCACCTGTGTCGCGCGCGGTCGCGAACGGTCGTCGGCGGGCGGAGTGCGTGCGCCCGTGGAACGCGAGGATTGGGGAGAGCGAGCGAACGCGAGCCGGCAGAGACGAGAGAATAAAATCGACTATCATTTTGTACTTTGACTACACGAGAGCGAGTATGCGTGCGCGTCAGCGGCGATGTGTGTGGGCGACGGGAATTGGGCGAAGGGCGGCACGGCCGGGTGAGAGGAGGGTTGAAATTGGGTGAAGCTGGCCGAGGGCAAGGAAAAATTGTACATTGTTTTGTAAAGAGTACATTTATTTATATCTGTGATAACGGGCACGGTTAAAAGGAATTAAAAAGAAAAAGCAGGAGAGAGGTAGGTTCGAGAAACGGAGCGAGAACGACGGACGAGGAGCGAGAGAGAGAGAACGGAAGAGTGGAACGGCAGAGACGTAGCGGAAGGGGAAACGTCACGGCGTCGGTATACTTCGACGAAGACGATCGGTGCTCGTGCATTCGTTGACGCATATATCTTATAGGATTAATTCTAGACTCGATAATGGTTTTGTAAATAATCGACGCATAGCCCAAGGGACACGAGGGTTTTACCTTCCTTTCGGATCCGAGCGACAGATAAATAAATGACAAAACAAAAAAAACGAACTATGAATTATAAGGGTAAAACAATTATACATATATACATATATAAATATATATAGGGAAGAGAGGAAGAGAGAAACGTTTGTTTTTCCCGCGCGACACGATCGCACCCTCGTGTGAAGAGACGAAGAGAGAACTATTTGTTGTGAATATACATAATACAGGTACTAGGTATATAGATATATAAATATAAATATATAAATATATATAAATATATACATACTACGATTAATAGGTTCTATTTGGTTGTTCGTACGAATTCAATTGTAAATTAATTCAATTGTACATAGTTCTGAATGTGAATATAGACAGAATATATCTATTATTATTATTATTATTATTATTATTATTATTATTATTATTATTATTATTATAATTTTATTATTATCGTCAGCATTATATTATTATTATAATATTATTATTAATATTATATTATTATTATTATTATTATTATTATTATTATTATTATTATTGTCTACTACCATTATTCATTATATTAAAAAGGAGACTATTATGTTGTACGTTTATATTTTTCATTTTCTTTTGTTTTGTTTTTTTGTAGAATGAACCTGACATTCCCCTGGACATTTCCCGATCCCCTCTTCATCCGGATCCCGTCATCCATGTAATCAATAAAGAAGAAGCAAAGGAGGTTTACCTTCGTCGTCAAGAATTTCTTATCACAAAACATGTAATACAATTTATTTAAGTGTTCCCTCGTCACGTATCGTCCACGACGCTACACCAACAGAAAAACACCACGGGATTCGATCATCGCGAATTCTCTCCCGATAATTCCGTCGAATCGAATCCCGAGCAAATTGCCATTCGTTCCTTAACAAGTTTGCGCCCCCGTCGCGCCGCGCGACCACCGACAACCCCGAATATTAATAATCCAGTGGACACCACCAGGCTCGTGGCTCCCCGCTAAATCCGGATAATTGGCATTGCTAGCGCAGCCGACGGGACGAATTTCGACGCGTTCGACGCCAAGGCCGATGGCGGCGATTATTTTCGTGCCCGGACCGGGTATTTTCGCGCGGCGGGAATTCGCGATTCGCGAGTCTAGGCACGCGCGACGGGAAACACCGAAATCGCGCCGCGCTGTAGCCGCTCTCGCATTCCGTAACAGGCACGTCTGCGTTTTGAATATTCGAACAATGGCAGTTTCGCGGTGGGCGGAGTTCCAACGAAAATACGCGGCCCCCGGGCGAAAGGACAATGGATCGCGAGCCTCTCCCTGCTTGACTCGTCCGGCGCCAAGAGAAATAAGCCTCTTTCCTTTTTCAAGCCGAGCTGCTCCCGGCTTGCAATTATCCGCGATTTGCTGTGCTTCGTTGTTCGAAATACCCGCGCTTTGCTCCTTTTCGCGACGTATAAATGGAACCGACATAAACGAACCTGTTGTACGTGAAATATTTCATCCCCTCTTCGAGTAGGATATTCCCTTACCGATGTTGTTACCCCTTCGGAATGATTTTATTGTCGATGATTCCACCGATTGAGGGTAGTAGACGGATAAAGCCAGCAGCAGGACCTTCGAAATTGCACCTTAAAGTTCTTGCCGGCACCGGCCTAACGCTCTTCGCCTCGAAGAATGATTTTCGGTAATAAAATTCAAGTGAACGGTGGTTTTCCTGCACATCTGTCGGCCATGGCCAAGTGAAAGTTACTTTCACCCCCGACGAGGCTCGAGGAAACCATGCAGAGTACACGTGTTCTCTCCCTGTTGACAGCAAAATTGGCTTCTCGTATCCTGAACTGTCGCGGTGCACGGAACTGGAAGTGGTGGTTCTATGAAATCTCGTTTCAGCGAGATTCGCGGTACTGCAAACCTGTAGAAAAATTAACGGTACCATTTTCCCTGTTTACATTTGAATTTGCCGGACGTTTACGTAAAGGTCTATACATATGGAAATCGGATGATAACGATAAATACAGTGACACGTGCGATAATGCGTCCGATATAGGATCGAGGATCGACCTCGGGCCGAATATTCCATCAATTGTCGCCGTTGCAAAATTGCTTACCGAGCAATTTTTCGCGACGGTTTATCGGTCCACGGCTGGCCGTCAGGTGAAAACAGAGGGGCGCGTACCCGGCGTTCACGTGTTCGCTTCACGCTCGGTCGCTTTGATCGCCCGTGGCATTATTTGCAGATCAGATTTATGCGCGAAAACTTCCCACGAAGATTCAAGGTTCGGGCCGCTCGTGACGTATAAATCACCGCGCCGCTTGTCGCGCGTCGTCCGGAGAAAGCTCTCCTCCGTGGCCCTTCCTCCTTTTTTTTCGCCGCGACAACACGGGATTGTCTATTTTGTCGCGGACGATTTATGTTTTCGCGTGTACGAAATCATTTAGAATCGAGTCGACGGACGAAAAATCGTGCCTCCCATTCTTCGGGCCCCGTCCTCGCTGACTGCTGCTCCCGGCCGCCATTTTGGTTTGCAGGCTCGCTCGAGGAAACGCGGCGAGACCTTCGGCGACCGAGTTTCCTTGAAATTCGAATGAGTTGCAACAATGTAAGTACCCGGACACGAGCAATTGCAAATGAAATGAGATTAATCCTCGACAGGCGGACGGTACACGGTGAAACGGTATAGCGTACAACAATTTTTCACCAGTATCGTGCATCGGCGAGACCCGACGTCACCTCCCTCGACCGTACGAACGGGAATATATACATAGTATCTTTATCCAGTTTTTTAAATTGTAAAGCAACAGTTTACTATCTGACCGGAGATAATATAAATTGGTTCGTGTTTCGCATATTCCCCGTTCTAACGTTTAAACTACAGAACCGATAACCGGTGAATGCATCGGTTTTATCATTATTCCAGTGCGACACGTGGAACTAATAAACAGCGGACAGGTTGAACGTTAATTCGCGCACGAATCTCATTAGCGTTCGCCGATGCCTCTTCCAGCGGTATCGGAGCGCGAACGCGTATCAGGTTTCTCGGTGAAGACCAAAGGTCTCTCGGAGACTGGCCTTCTAAAGAGGGGCCGAGGAAAAAAGGAGAAATTCCTCGGAGAGGGTAATAAAACCATCCCCATTCCCGAGTGCGCGTCGAAGGCGACCGCGCGAGAGGCGCGGACGGTTTATATTGCCGCGTCCTAAAACCCTAACAACCGTAAATTGGGCAACAAAGGGCGCCGGGGGCCGCGACAATCCGCTAAGACAAAGGGTCGAAAGCGTCCGGGGCAACGGCGGCGGCGGCGGCGGCGGCGGG